GCAAGTTCACTAGTCAAACTCGCTCAGAACATACACATCCTATGTTAAGAACCTCAGGAGTGAGCTCCTATAGTGCAAACTTCTTATGAGTCAATGCCTACCCATCTCAATCCTTACTCCGGCGAATGCTTTTGTGGGCGATACTTATTTAGAGCGAGTGTGCCTTTTGACCAATCATATTAAGGGAGTACTTATTTGGTATATGTAAATTACTTATATCAACATATATGGACATACAAAAGAGGAGAAATTATATACACTAGATGATAGGTAGAATGAATAACTTTATAGTGTGATTATGAAATCAAATTATCAAAAATAGGTGTGGTAAGGAAACAATAATTTGAGAATATATTATTTTAATTTATATTAGAATGGGTCTAAGAGCTTTTGAATTTATACTAAGATTAATACAATTCATAATGTCATATATAACCCTTAATTTTAGCATAAATTCTAACGAAAATTAAACTCACTCTTATGTTAATTAATAATAGCGAAAAATAGATGACTAGACAACGAGATGAGCATGTAAAAATAAAATCTAATGATGAAAATAATACAATGCATATCAATGGACCTATTGGATATGATGTTGGTTAAGTACTTATACATACATAATGATGGACATATGTGCGTCAATGATCAATCTTGTGGACACAAATGTGATAATTATCAAGTTCATAACTTTGAAGTGGGGACATTATGAATAATGCATATGATGGTATTGATACATATTTTAGTTGTACTGACTAATGAGAGTCTTGATCAATCTTATATAGGATATTGTGGAATTAGTCATGGTTAAATCTTTTAATACTATTCATTAATTTATGAACTTTTTATTTTAAATTCAAATGCATCATTAAAATTTAATATTAATAACATTTTAAAATAAATTAATAATTATATATTTAGATTTTTTGTTTCAATAAAATAAGCCTAATAATATGGATGTGATAAAATACTTAATTTAGATAAAAATTTATTTTTTGCATTATAGATTATTTTTATTAAGTATTTTGTTGCGCACTTATGTTAGTTTTAAAAAAATAAAGTTATAATATTAATATATATGTAATAAATTTTTTATTCAGCCACCCCCAGTTTTAAATTTTATTTTCCTCATTATATGGAGGTCTATAAGAGCAGCATTCACTATTTGATGATTTGTTTTTATTTGGTCAAATATTAGGATTTAGGACTGTAGTATCAATATCATGAAGAAGATGCTGCCAATGACAAATCTCGTGATCCACCACGAATTGGCACATGGCTTGGATTTCTTTTTATTAATAATTAAATATTAGCAGGTACAGTTTTCATGTGTAATTAAACCAACAACGGTATGGGCATGGCTTTAATAGTAATATTAATTAAAATTCTATTGTTATTGAGGCATGCATGTTTTTTTGTTAAATTTTAAAAAGTACTTTGCTATAAGACTACTTTTTAGCATATTTTATAAACGTAATTTTGAAAATATCAAATTTTTAAATTTTTTTAATAATTATAGTTAAAAAATTGAGCATCGTGTCATAATTGTTGTCTCTGGTCATCACGAGCAAGATAAAAACACATCATTGATTGTTTTTTTGGATATTTAGGTCAATTACGGCAGACTAATACACACATTGCATACACAAGACTCAAATCCAAGATCTTTTAGTTGGTAGCTTAAGCTCCTAATCAACATACCATGATGAGTTGTGTGGCACAAAAGTGAATATCAATATTGTTGATCGGCATCACCAACAATATCAATGTCTATTAGATGACTACGATAATATTGATGTCAGCCATCCCAAATAAAATTGATGCAATCTGTCATTTAAAGGGCAATGCCTGCAATTTTGAATAAATTTGATACACGTCATAAACACCAACATAGATGTATGTTGATGTTAACAAAGTTCCATCCCCTATTACTAATATGTCAATACCCATTTTTGAAATCATCCCCATTGCTTGCATTTTCCAATAATGTTCATCAATACTTAGCATTAACATTTGAAGCTTGTGCTTTCTTTATTGGTAGCTAATATTCCCTCTTATAAATAGAATGAATGAGCATTATACTAATGGTATTTATTAGTAGTAATTTCGATGCTTCAAGGCTCTTATTTTCACGTTGGAAGCCATCAATCATGGTTCCTTAGCTTCGAAATGGATAGCTCCTTTCCTTAAAGTCCTCTAAAACCTTTAAAGAGGTAGCTCTTTGTAACAACATTAATTCTGAAAATTGAAAACCTTCTCGAGGCATTGCACTGGAGAGCATAACAGTATAAATAAGCGCCAAAAAGTTGTGCAGAAACCCAGGTGCTCTCGAGTTTATTGGAAATTAATTCAGCGCAATATGCATACATGATGATGCAAAACGCTGTGATGCTAGGCACTAAAAATATTATTTATGTTGAGTCCTGGAGTACTCACGGCGGTAGAGAAATATGACATTTAACGTCTTAATTTTGTACCAAGATCCAGCACTCAAGCAGATACAAAGAGGGTGTAGCGTTCATAGGAGACACCAGAGTTTTTACATGGAAACCCCTCAAAAAGGGGGAAAATCACGAGCCTGGCCTAGTATGAATGAACCCACTAGTATTTACAGTTGATTACAAATGAGGCCCTTCCTTGGGAGAAGGCATTGACTTGATGTCACAAATGTACATCATGTAGAGTGTATTACATGGTGGGAGTTAGAATAATCAACATAGACATGTTTGTTTGGTCGGCATAACCATAGTCGATAGGATAGAGATCTGAAAGACTGTAATATGCAGCGGAAGTCAGAAGGACCGTAGTCGGCATGAGACAGGTCAGAAAGACTGTTGTCTGGCAATGGAGGTCAGAATGACCATAATCTATAGAAGACCATGGTCAAAAAGACCATTGTCTAAGGATAGAGGTCAAAAGGACCATAGTCAGAAGGAGACAGGGGTTAGAAAGATCGTTGTCTGGCGATGGAGGTCGAAAAAATCACAGTCGGTAGAAGAACGGGATAAGAAAGACCATTGTCTAGCGATGGAAGTTGGAAGAACCGTACTCAGAAGGAGACCGAGGACAGAAAGAATATTATTTGGCGAAGGAGGTCGGAAGGACCGTAGTAGGCAACAGAAGTCAGAATGACTGTAGATGACAGGAGACCGGGGTCAGAAAGACAGTTTTCTGGCGATGGAGATTGAAAAAGACTGTAGTTAGTAGGAGACTGTGGTTAGAAAGACCTTAGTATTAGGGCAATACTCCGGTAGAACTATGGGCGTCAAGTGGTGGTCCGCAAAAGTCTAGGCCTTAGGTGGTGGTCTGGAAGAAGTTCAGGCCTTAGGTGGTGGTCCGGCAAAACTCCGGGCGTCAGGAGGTGGTACAGTAGAATTCCGGGCGTCAGGTGGCAGTTTGGTAGAACTTCGGGAGTTAGGTGGTGGTCTGGAAAAACTCCAGGCCTTAGGTGGTGGTCCAGCGGAAGTCCGGGCCTCAGGTGGTGGTCTGACAAAAGTTCGGGCCTCAGGTGATGGTGCGGTGGAACTCTGGCATCAGGTGATGGTCCGACGAAATTCTGGGTCTCAGGGTGATGTCTGGCAGAACTCCGGGCCTCAGGTGGTTGTCCGACAGAACTCAGGGCAATGGTCAATGAGCGAGGAGGCAAGAGTGATCTCCAATCTTTCTCTTGCTCTCTTGTTTGGAGCTCCCTTTTAAGAGGGAGGAGGGGTCTATTTATAGATTTCCTAGAGTGGCATGGCCCGTAAATAGAAGGAAGATCAAGGGTAAATGGGGAGTGGTTTGAATGGACGACCGATATTGAATCCCTTGATCGTGGACCGTTCCTCAGACATTTGAAGGTCTTTATGATGTTAGAATTCCATGATCTTGGGCTCGTTGGATTTTTTTCGTCGAGCCGCTCGATTCGATTATAAGCACGTCATGTTTGGAAACCATTTGCTTATCCAAAATGTGCTTTAACCTTCCAATAGCACTTTGGATACTTGATTTGGACCCATTTGGACTCGGATTGAGTCTAATTTGGTGTCGTTGGGTTTGTATTTCCGAGACGCTTAGTTCAACTATAAGTTTGCTGAAATCGAAGTTCAGTTGGTCCTAATTTCAATTTTGAAAGTTTCCAACTTGATTTTGTCTCAAGATTCGTGCCCGATCAAAATAATTTTTCAAGGATGTATTGATTTATATTAGATCAGCCTGCAGAATCCATATCAACAAACAAATTAGAATAAAGTAGAATGACTCGATTTGCCCATTCCTCATCTGTAATTTTAACTGGATTTGTATGATTTCCTGTCATCGGGGTTAGTGCTAATTGAATTAAATGCCCATAATTTAAGCGAAGGCAAGTTTATAAAAAAACTTAAAAATTTCAAATTTAAAAATTAAACGTACTAATTAGTAATTACTAAGATTTCATTTCATTTCATTTCTTTAATTTACATTCAATCCGAACAACTGTACGAAGCAAAAGAAATCAAAATTTGAAGCAAAATCACAAGCGCCTGGCAATTCTTGCATCTCCTGCTGCCATAAATGTTAACTGCAGAAGTGTCTGCCCCACTGTGTCGTGAACCGTGCGGCCACAATTCCCATCTTCTGAAACCTACCAATCTAATTTTCCTTGGCCTTATCTTTTTACCCTTCTACCGACAAATTATAAAAAATAAATCACCAGCGGCTTAATAAAGGAATGCTCAATCAGTGAAAGCAGCCCTATCGCTTCAAATAGGTTTGCAAAAGTAGATTTGTTTAAATTTGTAATAATCGAGATTTTTTTTGTAACAAAACATTTCAATAAATCGAATTTCTATTTACAAACTTTTAACAAATTTGAACTGAAAGATCAGAAACCAATTAAAGGAGAGACCCCACATCTCTGCAGTAAGATGCATAGCGATTAAATACGTGCAGCTAGCGGCCACGAATCTATTTAGTTTATGGCTTTGGCCCTAAAATTTCAACACGGAAATTAAAAAAAAAAAAATGCAAGTTAAGTGCAATAAATTAAATAAAGGAAGGCCACTGTTTTCCTACAAAGCAAGTTCTGTAACATTTAAATTGGAAATCACATTCGGGCACACAGTCCACCATTCCAACATCGCTCACCAAAACAAAAAACATGAAGAAAAATCACCATTTTAAGTTTCTGTTTCTGGCCGTACTCTTTTTCCTTTCTTCTCCGGCCATCTCCACCTCGGAGAAAACCAGACGGAAGACATACATCGTCTGCGTCGATGGCGAGGCCAAACCATCGGTCTTTCCTACCCACGCCCACTGGTACGAAACCGCTGTGGCTGCCGCGGAAGCCGACTCTTTCGAGGGAGACACTGGTTGGACCTCCGGTGGTCCCCTCATCCACACATACTCCTCCATATTCCACGGTTTTTCGGCTAGGATGACACCGTCCGCAGCAGCAGCCCTCTCGGTAGCAGCCGGCGTCCTCGCAATTCTTCCAGAGCAAGTTCGCCACCTGGACACTACCCGTTCGCCGCAGTTCCTCGGTCTCAAATCATCCGACAGCTCCGGCCTCCTCGCTGAAACTGACTTCGGCTCCGACCTTGTCATCGGCGTAATCGACACCGGAATCTGGCCGGAGCGCCGCAGCTTCTCCGACAGCAGCCTCGGCTCCATCCCTGCCAAGTGGCGCGGAACCTGCGTTGCCGGGACCAGCTTCCTCACCACAGCCTGTAATCGCAAGCTCATCGGCGCAAGGTACTTCTCCGGCGGCTACGAGGCCACCAGTGGCCGAATGAACGAGACTGCAGAGCTCCGCTCTGCACGCGACACCGACGGCCATGGAACTCATACCGCCTCCATCGCCGCTGGCAGGTACGTTTACCCGGCGTCCACACTTGGTTACGCCCGTGGCGTTGCCGCAGGGATGGCGCCCAAAGCACGTCTCGCCGTTTATAAAGTCTGTTGGGCCGCTGGTTGCTTTGATTCTGACATCCTCGCCGCCTTTGACGCGGCCGTCGCTGACGGCGTCAATGTCATCTCCCTTAGCGTTGGCGGTGTTGTCGTACCTTACTACCTTGACGCCATCGCCGTTGGCTCCTTCGCTGCGGTGGAGGCTGGGATATTCGTCTCCGCCTCTGCAGGAAACGGCGGCCCTGGAGGACTCACGGTCACTAACGTCGCTCCCTGGGTGACCACCGTCGGAGCGGGATCCATGGATAGATCCTTCCCCGCTGACGTTCGCCTCGGAAACGGACGCGTCCTCCCAGGTGTCAGCGTGTATGGCGGGCCGCCACTCAGAAAAGACTTGCTGTACCCCCTAATTTACGCCGGCAGCCCTGGAGAAGCCTCTGGCGGCGGCGGTGAAGGATACTCTGCCTCCCTCTGCCTCGAGGGATCCCTAAGCCCTAGTACTGTTAAAGGCAAGATCGTCGTTTGCGATCGCGGCGTCAACTCTCGGGCGGCAAAGGGAGAAGTAGTTCGGAAAGCCGGCGGCGCTGGCATGATACTCGCCAACGGCGTCTTCGACGGAGAGGGCCTTGTCGCCGACTGTCACGTCCTTCCGGGTACTGCCGTTGGCGCCAGCGCCGGGGACGAAATTCGAAAATACATTGCATCAGCCGCCACCCCCACCGGCACTATTCTATTCCGCGGCACGCGCCTCGGCGTCCGCCCGGCCCCTGTAGTCGCATCCTTCTCCGCGCGTGGCCCCAGCCCTCAGTCCCCAGAGATCCTAAAGCCGGACGTTATCGCCCCGGGCCTGAACATCCTCGCGGCGTGGCCGGACGGCATTGGTCCCGCCGGGATCGACTCGGACCATCGCCAAACGGAGTTCAACATCCTTTCAGGAACATCGATGGCGTGCCCCCACGTCTCTGGCCTCGCGGCGCTGTTGAAGGCAGCGCATCCGGATTGGTCACCTGCGGCTATCCGGTCGGCATTGATGACCACCGCTTACAACAAAGACAATGAGGGGAAACCGATGCTAGATGAAGCAACCGGAAACGTTTCCGGCGTCTTCGATGCAGGAACCGGCCATGTTGATCCGCGACGCGCAATGGATCCGGGACTTATCTACGACATTGCCCCAATGGATTACATCAATTTCCTGTGCAATTTAAACTACACATCGGAAAATATAAAATCCATCACAAGAAGAGGGGCGGATTGCACGGGGGCGAAGAGGGCTGGGCACGCTGGGAATCTGAACTACCCGTCGTTCTCGGCATTGTTCGCTGGGGTTGCAGGCAATGGTAAAACGAGGCAGTCAACGCATTTCCTGAGGACAGTGACGAACGTCGGGAGAGGCGCGGCAGTATACCGTGCGGAGGTTTCGGCGCCGACGGGGAGCAAGGTGGAGGTGGAGCCGTTGGAACTGAGATTCCGGCGGACGGGGCAGAAACTGAGTTTTCTGCTTAGAGTGGAGCTGGAGGCGGCGGAGGGGGAGGGAGGAAGGTTGCCGGCAGGGAGCTCCGCCGTGAGGGGCGGCGAGATCGTGTGGAAGGATGGCCAGCACAGCGTTAGGAGTCCTATTGTTGTTACGATCCAGGCTTCCCTTTGACGGTCGCTGTGACAGCATTTACAATTTCCTTTTTTTATTTCCTTTAACGCTTTTTCTTTTGCATTCGAACTTTTTATAATTTTTTTTCTTTTCAATGTTTTTCATAGTGCTGAAACAAGCAGAGTGACGTTGTGAGTTTGTTTTAAAGCGAAAAGATGTACATTTCGATAACGGGTTTGTAAGTGTGGTGGGGTATAAATAGATGGTATCGTCGCTTTTCCTACTGAGATGGGCTTTTTCTGTTGGGTAATTAGTTATAAAATTATATAATGTATTTCATTAATTGTTGAATAATTTGTTGCTTTTTCTTAAAAATTTTTTATAAGAAGGATGTATTATTTTTATAGTCTTGAGTTGGCAAAAAAAATTTGGAGGAGAAGATTTTGAGAGTTTAATGTAAGAGTTAATTGATTATCCATAACATATTTTGTCACGACCCGACCCGACGGGGACGGATCTCGTCCGAGCCGGATCCCGACCAACTTAACAAACTAACCAGGATCTGGCTTTGAAATTTGCTTACTGAACTGAATCTTTCAAATATTATACAAAATAGACTAGAGCTACTAAAAATATCAAATGCAGCGGAACAAATCATCTATATTTTTCTTTCTTTTCCTCAGAACAATCATCTACAAATACAGTACATGGCTGCCAGAAAAATAAAGCAGAAAGAGCCATGACTGTACAAAAATCAAAAAGTACAAAAGTACCTATCACAGATCAGACTCTGAACTCTAGTCCTGGACTTCCTTCCCTTTCCCAGAACCTGAAAACCACCAGAAAGCAAGGGTGAGCTCAACAGCTCAGCAAAGCAACAAACCTCCAATCAAAATTCTCAGAATCTCCAAAACCAAACACATCAGACAAATCCGTAACAAAAATCGGAACAGAATCGGACAGATATCAAAATCGGACAGATCAGAACGTAAACAGATCAAATCAGACAGAACTGTACGGAAACAAAAGTCGTATCAATCAGAAACAGAACAGATCAGACATATCAATCAATAGAATTAGAATCGTACAGAATTCAGAATTCAAAATCATATCGGAACAGAACAGAATCGTGTCAGAATAGTATCAGAAATCATATCAGAATCAGAAATAAAACAGAAATCATTATAATATCACATCATAGCTGATAGCACTTACAGAAATCAGAAAATCAGATCAATCACATCAAGAGTACAAAAATCAGATAATATTTAGTTCAGAACAAATCTTCCTTCCAGATATCATAACTTCCCCTTATATCTCCCTTGTGCATATAGCACCCTCTTCCCCTTATAGCTCCCTTTTTGTGCATACAGCACCAGAACTTCCGCTTATGCCTCCATTTGTGCTCACGGCACCAGAACAGATGTGGCTTATACCAGAATAACATATATAGTGCTTATAGCACCTAAACAGATATACAGAATTTCAGAACTTCACAGAACTTCCCCTTATAGCTCCCTTACTTCCCCTTATAGCTCCCTAAATGCATATACATACATCAAATCATTGCAGAGCAAATCCGGACAAATCAGAAATCAGCACAAAAATCGGGCAGCACAACGGCAGTATACGGAATTTACACAATTTTTCCTGAAAAATCACAATTAACCAAATTACAACATATGTAGATACAACATTTCAAACATTTATTCTACTGCCACAACATTTAATCTTCACACAGAAAAGTACAGACGGAAGAAAACGCCGCCAAATCAAACGGTCCGGACAAAAATCTCCAAATATATTCAAAATGTCACACCGGCAGTCAACAACATATAGAAAGTTAGCGCGGTAAAAACAAACCAGTCGGAAAATACGGACGAAAATCGCTAACAAAAACGAAATCCGGACAGAAATATACCGTCAACAGCGACGGTTCTGAAAATTGAGAAAGTCGGATTGTGCCTTACCTTGCGTACAGCAAAATCCTCAACAGTCTCTGACGAACGAAAGGACCCGCGCGCTTCCCGAAATCAACTTTCCTTTTTCTTTTCTTTTTCCTTTTCTCACGGATGGAATTTCTGATATTTTTTTTTCTCCTCTCTTCAAAATATCTCATTTCCTCTTTAAAATACTCAGATCGTCCTGGACGATCGCACTTCGTCCCGGTACGATCTGGGCTCTGGAAAATTCTCGTCCAGACGAAATTAATTATCGTCTCAGGAAGACTTGGGCTCTGGAAAATTTTCGTCCAGACGATCCCACATTTCGTCCCGGACGAACTGCCCAATTTTCACAATTCTGAACAAACCTGTACCGATCGTCCCGGACGATCCAACTTCGTCCCGGACGAACCTGGAGCAGAACTGATATTACAATCTCCCCAACTCAAAAAAAATGTCGTCCTCGACATTGTCCAATCAAAACTCCGTCAAAACAGATACGGATACGACTTCCTCATGTCCGACTCCTTCTCCCAAGTCGCTTCCCGTGCAGTCCGGTGCTTCCACTGGACTTTAACCATCGGAATCTGTTTACTTCTTAGCTTTCGGACGTCGTACGCCAAAATCTGAGTAATAAGATTGTCAAAATCGGAGACCGTTTGGTAACTCAAATTGCGGATTGAACCTTCCAACAGCTCTTTGAGCCCTTGATTCAGACTAATTTGGGCTCGGATTGGGTTGATCTTGGTGTCGTTGGGTTCGTATTTCCGAGACGCTCAGTTTGACTGTAAGCTCGCTGAAATCGGAGTTTAGATGCTCCCGGATTTAATTTTTGAAGTTTCCGGCTAGCTTTTTGCCTCGAAATTCGTGTCCGATCAAGCTAATTTTGTGATGCCATATCAACTACATATTATTTTGAATTAATTTTATATAATTAAGAAGATTAAATTAGAGTAACATCGTATTTTAAAATTAGAATAATCATTCAGGAATAGTCGATGATGATTTTAAAATTTAACACGTTTTAAAAAATTATAATTTATTATGACAGTTTTACCGCCCTTTGAAAAAAAGTTGGATGAGTTTGATAATTGGGCTCGGTGAGGGCCACTAGCACGTGAAGGGAATCGGAGTGTTGTGTGTACAGGCGTGAGCTGTATAGGAATAATGGCTTTAGCGCTGTCTGATAGGAAGGGTATTGGCATCATTCGAGTACTGCTCTCAAGTATGACAGCAGCAGTAGAATCACCATCACAGCCCGGTGTTATAGAAATAAAACAGGTAAGGTTCTGCTTCATTTGTGATCCACTAATTTCTTCCAATTTCCTTTATATGAACTCAAGGTGTACAAATGCGGCTGTTAGAGAGTCTCCGGAGCTGATTTTTTTTTCGCAAAGTTTTTCTATTCAGACGATGTATGAATTTAGAGCATCTAGCTGATAGTTCATAAATATTTAAATACGATTTATGGTATCTTTAAGCGAAAAATTCATAGTAACTCATTTCAAATAAAAATTCATTTCTTAACATAAAAAAAGGAATATTACTATTGTTGCTGGCTAGAATACATGATGCGATAGAGTTATAATATTGCGCCTTAGCTTTGTACGGATATCCAACTCACATATAAAGAATACAAGATCTTTTACGTGGAAAGCTCTAGAAAGGGGAAAAACCACTGGGTCTTGCCTAGTTGAAATGATTTCACTAGTGTTTGGGTAAAATATAGTGGGTTGACTCGTCTCTTAGGGCGATCAAATTACAAATGTCAACAATATGGTTGAAATCTAATGACAAACGAGATTGAAAGTCCAACGTCACTTGATTGACAAGCAGAAGTTTGGCATTACTTGAAAATTCGGGCGTCAGTTGGTAGCATGGCAGTGTTTTGGCAGAACTTCGAAGTCGGGCGGTGATCCGACAGAACGCTGGCATCGGTTGGTGGTCTGAAAGAACTTTGGGCGTCATGTGGTGTTCAGATAGAATTCCAGGCGTCAGGTACGTGGTGGTATAGCAAAACTTCCGCCGTCACGTGGTGGTCGGCAGAAATTTGGGCCTCAAGTGGTGGTCCGACAGAAGTCCGGGTCTCACGTGGTGGTTCAGCAGAATTCCAAGCCTAAGGTGGTGGACCGGCGGAGCAACGGCGTCAGGTGGTGGTCCGGCGGAACAACGACGTCAAGTGGTTGTCTGGCAGAACTCTGGGCATCACGTGGTGGTCCAACAGAACTCCGGGCCTTAGGTGGTGGTCTGACAGAAGTCCAGGCCTCAGGTGGTGTCTATTTATAGATTTCATAGAGTGACATTTCCCATAAATATGAGGAAGATTAAAGGTAAATGAGGAGTGGTTTGGATAGACGATTGATGTTGAATCTCTTGATCGTGGATTGTTCATTGGACATTTGAAGGTCTTAAAGATGTTGGAATTCGGTGATGTCGGGCTCGTTGGATTCGTCTCGTCGAGCCGCTTGATTTGACTATAGGCATATCACATTTGGAAACTGTTTGGTCATCAAAATTGCGGTTCGAACCTTCCAACAGTGCTTCGGACCCTTGATTTGGACCCATATGAGCTCGGATTGAGTCGAATTTGGTGTCGTTGGGTTCATATTTTCGAGACGTTCAATTCAACTATAAGTTCATTGAAATCAGAGTTAGGATGACCCCCATTTTAATTTCAAAAATTCCCAACCAAAATTTGCCTCGAGATTTGTGCCCGATCATGATAATTTTTTTATGATGTATGAACTATATTCTTTCTCATCTCTTTTTTATATTTTTTTCTATTATAGTCTTATATTTATTAATATTTTGAATTAAACATACCTATAATTTTTTTAATTAAAATAAATCTTACTCAATAAATTATTTAAAATAAAAAATCATTTAAAATATTTTTAAAAGTATAATAAAAAATAATAGTTAAACAAAATTATGAATAAAAAATAATATAATAAGAAAATTATTTCAAATAAACTCCAATAATTGACAAAATTAGACTTTTTTATACATTTTTTAAATAGCAGTTTAACAAATTTAGAACTGTTGCTTAACTCAAATGATATAGTTGAAAAAAAAAGGGGTTTTTACAGCCATACCACTTTATAACACCTATTTTACATATTTAACACCTAAAACTTAAATATTTCATATACACCACCCTAACACAATTTTAACCTCAAATATACCACTCCGTTCTTTACCGAGTTCACAGAGTTATCACCCGAACTCTTTCTTTACCGCGCTTGCTCTGTTAGGTGTTCGCGGTCGATTAAGCTCTCTCTCCCGCGGACGACCAACTTCGTGCGTTAATTTTTCTATTTGAAGTTTCCTCTCATTACAGCTCT